CATTTCTCTACATTTAAAAATGTCGTTCTCGACATTTCTAAATCAATGAAAAATATTGTATTTATTGTGATTTGACATGTATACTTTTTGAAATAAATATGGTAGGTTATGTGTCAAAATTTTATTGGCCAATAAAAATATTGCAAAAATGTCCATTTTTTTTTTATCTTAGTGTGGAATTATAAATTGTTAATAAGGGTATTTTGATCTAAGTTCTTCCAAATTAGACATTTTTGCAATGGTGGACATTTTTGCAAATGATTAGATAAAAATGGACATTTTGTGAAATTTCCTCTTAATTCTATAATTATTGTTTGGCTCACATTTAATGTATATTCCTAAATAAATATATAATTATCTCTATAACTATTAATTTACGTTCAATTTTTTCTTAGTCTTCAGGTTAGATGTATGATCCTAAATTTTATTTTGCTGTGGCAAAACAAACACACTCTCATTAATTGCTCTGAAATAGACGAGTCGATAAATGTAGACTATGTAGTAGCTCTGGCAATTTAATTTTTAAATTCGAATATTACTGATAGTAAATTAACGTAGTTCAAATATCAAAATTTTGCTTACCTTGTTTTTTATGCCTTCATCTTACATATTTCAAAAATAAATAAATAAACAAAAATGAAATAAAATAAAAGTGGAAGTGTGGTTTAGTGAAGCCAATCATGCTTATGCATTAGCATGACAATCTTGAAAAGATTTTAGTATATCGCTTTCGAATGCATGAAATTGAATTTGACAAAAAGCCAATCATACTTATGCATTAGCAAAACAGCTTAATATATCGCTATCGAATACATGAAATTGAAATTTGACAAAAAGAAGAAAGATATGCTAGTGAAATTCATACCTCGGCTCCATGCTCGATCTCTATTTAACTTGATCTTTGTGACCCTAATATTACATGAAGGGCGTCTTATAAATTTAGGATGGTCTACTGATCAAAATCACGATATTTAGTGTGTTTGGTAGAGATTAAAATTAGATTTTTTAGTAAATTGTGATAGAAGTTTTTGAAATATGTGGTTGAAAAGTTGTAGAGCCTATGAAAGACGTGGTTTATATTAATTAATTGACTTTGACTTAAATTAAAATCATATTTTAATTCGAACCAAACAATAGTATCATATACCAGCATAAATATTTCATTGATTTAGATTTTCTTCAATATGTCGATTTTCAATCAGTGTCTTAAATAATTTGGTATAAAGACCATGAGGCCTACAACATGACCAAATGAGGGCATTAAGCACATGAAAATTGTGTACTTCAGCAAGGAAAGAATCCAATTTTTTGCTTCGTTTTATAAAAGAGCTTTTAATTAAACTCGAAGAAAAGTTGACAAAATATTCCAAGAGCCCCAAACCTAACATTGGCCCTCCTGCGCACTTTAGCAGTCCCCACATAATAATTCCTAATAAATTCACATTCAAGATTAGGAATAAAGAAACGAATAGTATTCAAACTAATTATAACGAGGGGTGCTATCCTGTACCTGTACGTAAAGAATTTTTCCACTATAATCACCATCATTCAAGGCAGAGTCGGTCCTGCGATCTTGGGTGCCTTGTACGAGATTTTAAAATGGTGTCTCCTTCAAGTAATTAAAGCATGTATTAAAAAAAATATATTTCAATAATATTATTTCATTGCAAAAATATGATATTTAAATATTTTTTTATTTTTTTAGCATACATGAACAAGAAGGAACACAAATAAACCTCAAAAGAATCTCTCGAACTTCATCAAAATTCATATGTCATCAACAAAAAACCATCCAAGCCACCAGCCTCTTCGTGCAATTCCAATAAGCAAATAGTGAAAAAAATATATAAATCAAGTCAAGTGTAAAGCTAGAAATTTTAAAATCATGTAAAAATATTTCTTAACGCTTTTTTAAAAGCAAACTCACTAATTAAACTTTCGTAATCAATATTTTCTAGAAAGTCTTGTTCAATAGATATCAAATCTAATCAATTCAATCATTCATGTAACATGGTTGTGGTTGATTGCAAATAAGATTTTAGTAACTTCAATTTTGAAGAACTTCTTTCAGCAGATGCAACAGTAACAAAAATTAAATCAACCTTGATTAACATGTGTATCGCCAATCAAACGAAAAGAGAGTAAAAGGTTAGTAAAAATTCAATGAATCAATTTCATTAGAAAATTTCACTTTATAGTTAATTGATTTCACTTATTAAATTAATAATTATAAATTATGAACAGTGAACCCATTTTCATATTTAATTGATTTCACTAGTAATTATAAATTATGAACGGTGAAATCATCTTCAGAACATTGAAAAAAATATTTAAAAAGCATCTATATTTTCTTGAATATTCAGAGAAATTATTGAAGAAAAAATATGTTAAGGAAACAAAAACTCACTTGTTTGTGTTCAACTTCTCCGGAGGAAAATTATGCCATGCTTCCTCAATCCTCACGTTCAGGCAAAGTGAATTCAAATTTTAACAAGTTCTTGCAATGAAAATTCAAATCAGTGAAATCATAGAACGAAATTGACGAAAAGATAATAATAAAAACAAAACAGGTAATTCAGATTTTCAGCGAGGGTTTAATGAAAAATATGAATTGTCAATCGTCGCTTAAGGAAAAGAGACAATTTTTTGGAGCTAGATTAATGATGATTTGAGAAAAGGACGATTTCTCCAAAAAGACGGTTGGTTTCTCCCTCTGCCTCAATTATCTTTGAGGCAATTGGAAAAAGATAGTTGGTTCCTTTAATTTTTTCTCCAAAAAAATGATTGAAAAAGGCGGTTGCTCAATTTTTCTTTTTTCTCTTAGTTCTCTAGCCGGCCTGATCTCTTATCGACTTTTCCATTTTCCCTCACATTATTTAAGGCAAGGGTTAAGAATATTATATTGAAGGAAATTATAATTAGTTAGTCACATTATTCTTAATTTTAATATCTTATGCATAATAATAAAAATTTTATATTTTAAAATTAATATATATTTTAAATATTTAATTATAAATAAACATACAACTATAACAAAAAAAACTTATAGTACCCTTACAATTTTGAGGCCCTATGCAATCCCTCAACTCACGCGCCTTGAGGGCCGCCTCTGATTCAAGGTGATGCTAGACCTTTTCATTTACTATTCAATAGAACTATGATGCATTTAATTAATTGAATAGGGAAATAGAGGTCCGTGATCACCTAAATCGATTATAATCATAACGAATGATGAATATTATTACCCTTAGGACTTAAATAAACTCCTTAAACTGTTAAAAACCAATAACGACAACAAAAAAATTCCTGCATGAGAAAAAAGTACTAGAACATTGCACCACAGGGTCCCAATCTATTACTCTAATAGTGCATTGGTCACTTTCCTTTAAATAAGTTCATCATTAACTCTTCACTATAGTTGCACAATCAAATCGACTATTCAAACCCCAGTTAAATAATTACGTAGTCTCGCACGTCTAATACCATAATTCTTGATTTTGCTTCTAAATTTAGACATTGCTTAGGTTTCCATTATATATTTATTGTGCAACTATGGTGCAAGGTTGAAGATACAACTTGTTCATTTTCAAAGGTTAGATACCAGTTTATCACTATGACCCTAGATTGGGGACCGATTGTGAATTTTTCCAAAAAAAAAGTATTTAAGAAAAATATTACTGTAATTTCGCTAATTTTCAGAAAATAAGTTTTTCAAATAACTCAAAAAAAAAAAAAAAATCTTGAAATAAACGAGATTTACAATTTGTAAAGGATTTTCTAAACATTACAAATCATGTTAATTAGAATCAACGACTGAATTTTAATAGCATATTATTCAAACCCGTTTCCTTTTATCTTTCAATTTCTTGACTCGCAAATAACCATTCATTATTCATCCATAAGAAAATTTTCCATTAAAGATTTTTTCATTTTTATTTTGCCCTCAAAAAGTCAAACAATAGCATAGCGTAATTAAATAAAACTTCAAGTAATTAAATTTTAAATAATGACAAATTAATTTAAAAGAATATGCTAAACGTTATAGAATGTTAATAGTAAGATTGTAACTAAAAGTATATTGGTAAGCTGGATCATTTATACAGACAAATTTGTAATTTTTTAACAAATATTTAACAAAAAATGTTGGTGCTACCGATTATAATAAGTTTGTAGTTAAAATATTTAAAAAGATGATGAGTAAATAATATATACATTAATTATATTGGATGAGTATCTCATAGAGTTTCGAAGTTAAACTACAGAACTGAAAAAAAACAACTTCTACGAATGGCTAAAAAGATTGAACTTAAGTGTGTTTGATTACATTTATTTTCCATGGAAAATATCAATTTTTCACCCAAATTCTTATTTAGAGTATTTAATTGCTATTTTTTTCATGGAAAATATTTTTCAACTTTTAAAAATATGCTTAATTTTCCTTGTTTTTAGGGAAAACATTTTCCTTGGGTAGAGGTGGTTTTTATTTTCCACAAAAGATGAAAAATATTTTCTTTTCTAGGTGATATTTTTCATGCCAATCAAACACACTCTTATTGTAATCAAGAAGTTGGCATTAATGTTAAAAACACGAGATTCCCGTAGATAGTTGCATTTTTTTACGTTACACAATAGAATTGAATCTTTGGAGAGTTCTCGACTCGCCATTCTTGAATCTGATGAAGTAATGAAGTAAGATTGTACGTTATCAGAAGTAAAATTATACGTTTCCTTTATCCAAAAGTTATAAGTTCTACCCCATTATAATAAAGTGTATTCGATTGAGATTTTTTTAAAAATTTTGTTACTTTTTTTAATTGATGACTTCAAAATTTTCAAATATTTTAGTGGCAAACACATCTTCGCAGCAAATTCGGCAAAATATTGGAAAAGCCCAAGATCACCAATCCTAACCCTCCGGCGCACATTAGCAAATTCGCACATCAATCAAATACCCGCCTGCTACTATTCATAATCAAGATTAGGAATAATTAAATTCCTTCCTGGTATTAACAATTACCGTAACAGCAACACGATTAAATATATACAAATACACATAAATTGGGCTTCACTCTGCTATATTGTTCAGTGAGAGAGAGAAATCCCAGAAAAACAGAAAAGGAATTCCATTGATACTATCGATCCGTTTGATCCGATCGAAGCCAAACCAAAAACTCCAGAAACCATTTTCGGATTTTCCAGATAACCCTTTTTTTTCCTTCTATCAAGGACACGGAGGGATATATGTTATAGGGAAATATACAAGTATTTAGATATAGAGAGAAAGTTATGATGGGATGGAGGAGAAGTTGAAGGAGAGAAAGAGAAGGGGATGGCGAGAGGAGAGTTCGTGTATAATGGGAGAGGGATATGGTGTTCATACAAGAGAACCACTCTCGTTGTTTGTTTAATTAACATTGTTGTTGTCCTATATGCGATCCACAATCTTTACAATTCTCTTTACATGTATCCCTACATTGATTCTCAAACCAGTATGTGCTAATTCATTTTTGTGATTCTTTTATGCCCCCTTTGTTAAAATTTGAATTTTTTGAAATTTGGGAGTGTTTAACCATTGGTTTGTGAAATTTCAGGGAATTTTTCTTGACAGTCGCTTAGTCAAATTTGTGTTTTTTTATGACCCATAAAGGAACCATTTCGGTTTTTATAATGAGTATTTGTTTTACAGCATTTAAGTACACCCCGGATCAGATTAGGAAAATGGAAGAGTCAATTCAAATACGAAAAGCATCAGAACCTAAAGAGCTCATTAAGTTGGTAAGAATCCATTGATTTTGGGAGAATTTTTGTTTTTTGATTGCTTTTAAAGTAGACTTCGAATTGATGTAATGTATTGAATCTTTGATTTTTATTTTTGATGGGGGATATTTGTCTGTACTCGAAGGTGAAACAATTAAAGAAGGATTTTTTAAGGGAAGACAAGGTAGTGGAGTTGCCACAGCACTCGAAACAAAAGTTAATAGATGAGATTCTTGTTCAGTTAAGAGGCTTGGATGCCGGTGCCAATGCAACTCAGAAACGAGGTGTGTACAATTATGATTTCCCTATTTATTAGTTGATTTTATGATTTATGATTTTTTAGGTTTGCTGATTTACATAGTTGATTTATACCGATCACTGTAATTTTGTGTTCATTCGATTTTATGATTTACTATTTCTGTTTGCCGACCTAATTGTCGATTTATAGCAATTAAAGTTGAAACGTCAGTCCTTGCACTTAGTTCTTTCTGTTTCAATGTGATTATGTGTTCTGTTTTAAGCACTGAGATACTAATTTATTGGTGCAAAACTGAAAGTGCACAGGGTCTTAGTTTTATATGAGAAGAGTGTCGTCCTCAGGGATTGATAACTCACATTTGACAAGTACCGAAATTATACTAATCTCAGCTTTATCTAGAAGAGTCACTAAAATTGGTTGTAATTGCAGACTAAAATAATATCCAAAAAAGGAAACCAAAGGAATTGTTCGATGGAAGAATCAATGAGAAGAAACAACTTCTAGGAAACCGATTTCATCTAGTCCCTCAATATGCTTTACTTTTCTAACTAAAAGAAACTAACTCTCTAAGCTTGTTAGTAGGACCTTCTAACCATACAAAAGCTTCTTTCAACTGACAATTGGATCAATTCTTCAATATTATTAGTTTACACAAGAGATGCAATTAATAGAAAGAGAAATCATTAAGTTCAATAATCCCTGACTTACCACTACACAGGTTCTTATAGGTCTTTCAATCCTATAATTACCTATGCTGAATTACCCAATGGTCTATCTTATAATTCCCTCTTTCGAAAGCAAATCACAAGATCCATAACATCTAATTAATGGCCTGTTAACTAGAAGCAATAAGCAAAGAATAAATCGGACAAACATAATTGAAAATTACTGTGTGCCTGTTTGGTTCCCATTATTTTTTCATTAAAATGAAAAATATGACCGTTATCTATCACATCAAGCCACCAAATTTGAATTTCTATCTCTTGTGTGGGGTTTGTAACGGCTATATTTTTTATTCTCATTCTTTCAAAAATGAGAAACAAACGGGGGATGTATTTTAGCATAGAAAGGCAAGCATAGTTGAAACTAGATTACATCATTTTCTTAGAAGTAAGAAACTTAGTTCATGCTGGAAATTAAACTCCATATAATCCAATTCAACATGATCTTAGTTTTGGTAATAAGAAAATCAAACTGGAAGAAGTGATGGTTGGCTCTTGATAAATCTGCCGCTTCGTGAAAATTCTGGGGCACCCAGCAAGAAGAATATTTTTCTGCTACACACCTCTTTGTTGTCTATCACTCGTTCAGCCCCCAATTTTCCAAAAATTCTCCAAGTTTTCCACTTTTTTTGAATTCTTCCTCCCCCTCAATTTTCGTAAGTACTTTTTTTTTTTTTTTTTCAAAATTCTCATTCCCTTTTCTTCTCCTTCCCCCGATTTTTTCTCTCCTTCTAATATCGGCCTCTTGTTATTCCCACAACCGCCTCTTCTGGTGGCAACCTACTTCGGGTGTATCTTCATTTGGATGCAGAGTCCCTCAACTCCAGGCAACCTCCTTCAAACAAAAATACTTCTCGTTTTTACTCTTAATGTTCAGCAGCTGTCCAATCTAAGTTGAGGATGATTAAAACTTATCACGCCTGATGAGCTGATTATTGGACCATCATAGCAATTGGCCTTTATTGTCCAACAGATGGGCTACTAATATTTTGGTCTTCCTTTTCTTCTAATCTGAAATAAAGTTTAAATGACCACAATGAAGCCTATAACTGATAAAAACAAATAAAATTGGACTAAAGTTTAAAGTCAAGGAAGTGATAAAATGTATGAAATTATGCAAATCATCACTAATGTGGAGAGATTCATCCTTTCTATGTTTGGGTAAAAAATTATTTCCAAGTTTTTCTGATGATTTTACTTCATTGAGTGTGCAAAAATGAAATTTCCTTTTTTGCATCTTCTATTTGATGCTCAATAATAAATATCGTCATTAAATGCCTGCACAATACTATATAGGTACTTGACTACGAGCATGGAATGTAAATGCAATTTGAGGTGCTAACTACGGTTAAAGAAATCGATGGCTTAAAATTGTTTGAATGATGTTGACAAGATTCATGTCTTAGCCTTATGTCTTCGGCAAAACATTGCTCTTGTCATATAGTTCAAATTATATTTATCTGTTTTTTCAGTTGGGTGGAAATGTGCATGAGGTTGAATGTGTTCATTGAAAGCTTTCTGTTGTTTAACATATTTGCTAGTAAGCTTTTTTGATGAGGACATCCAATTTTAATTAATTTTAGCAATTTTAATTATTTTAGTTGGAATTTAGGTTATTTTAATTTTATGGACTTGTGTATTGGGCTTGGCCCTAGGTTTGCATTATTTTCCAGTATTTAAACCTATCTCATATTGTTATTTGAGATGATGAATTTTGATTGAATAAAAGTTTGGCTAAAGCCCCGTTTCTCCTCTCTGTGTGCTTCCCCGGTTCCTCTCTTCTCCTCTCCTCACTTCCCCCTTCTTCTTTCTCTGTTATTGATACTACATCAAATTGGTATCAGAGCGAAACTTGAGAATTTTCACTGCATCAAACAAAAATTTTTCCTTCGACCCACTGTGAAATCCAAAACCGTCATCACAGAGACTACCACCAACTGTCGAGGTTACAACCTTCCACTGCCAACAAACTAACACGCTGCCATAAACCGAATATTAACCAAACCAAATCCACAACATCTAACCCAATACATCATCATACTCCCCACTCCTCAAACCGGCTACTGCGAAATCAAGAAAAAGAGTCATCCTCGAACCAAAAAAATAAATAAAATCGGCCGCTTTCTTCATCCATTACAGGTACATCACCCAATCACCCAAAGGTTTACGGCTTCATTACGCCTGATGAAGGCGGCGAGGATCTGTTTGTGCATCAAACTGCCATCAAATCCGATGGGTATCAGACCCTTTGCGAGGGCCAAATCGTTGAGTTCACTATTATACTAGAAGGCGACAAGACAAAGGCCACCGATGTCGTAATCGCAGATGGCGGGCCCGACGACTACTCCTCACAGTGGCTCGAAATCTGGAACCAGTAGAATGACGCTGATTTCGGGATGGTCGGGAGTTTATGTTAAAGCTTTATTCGTGTTTTGTTTTTCTCTTATTTTGGACCTCAATTAGTGTTTCATTATTTGATTTGTATTATTTAAAAAAAAAAAAAGTCAAAAAAAAGAAAAGAGAAGAAAAAAAAAAGTCAAAAAAGGAAAAAAAGAGAGCAAAAAAAAAAAAAAAAAAAAAAAAAAAAAAAAAAAAAAAAAAAAAAAAGAGAAAAAAAAAAAAAAAAAAAAAA